ATTCTGCATATCACGTCACAAATGCATCACTTTTGCTTGCTTGAATTACTGAAAATACATACTATTAAGTGAAATAAAGTAAAAAAATTATTGCACTGTTATTAATATAAAAATTTATCCCACATTTGCTATCAGTATGTCCCAAATAAGCTTAATTAAATTAAAATCAAGAAAGTGAGTGCTTAATTATAAAGAAATAATTGAAATTGTTCTTAACAGTGACCACGCAGAATTTTGGTTTTCATAAAATTAAATGTTATAAAAGCAAAATTTTATTATTTGAAAGTTTAAATTCTAACTCATGTACTGAATGTATTAAAACAGTAATTCGGATCATTTAAAAAAATTGTAAGCAAAAATAATTTCTTAAAAAAACACAATTTTTAAGAAATAGTACGTACGTCATTTCTAAAAACTTGTGTTTAAAAAAAATTATTATAATTAATTTTAAATGTGAATTTTTGATAATCCCATAAAAATATTACTAATTCCGATTTTTGAACACAAAAATATTGCAATTACTTATTTCTTAAAAAATAGAACAAAACTTTTTATTAATTTTTCATTGTTTTTATCAAAAATTCGCATGCAAAATTTAGTTTTTGAAGTATAGGATTTGTAGTTTGAACACTCCGTGAAACTATTCATATAAGGTGAATGTAAACTTATCGGCCATATTCCAAAAACTTTTCTGAAAATAGTTTCTTCTACATCATTCCGTTTGAATATATTTTGTTTGCTTGTGCATCATAAATTGTCCAGCAAAATTAATACATACTTGAATGCTTCTATGCTGCTTTCTGGTACAGTGCTTGACTGGCGCAATTGGAAGGCTATGATTTGATGAGATTCGAGAAACGAAATCGTATTCTATAAAAACAATATGCAATATTTAAATGATCCGAATTACTGAAAAAGTATTTTTGCTTCACAAATATTTCAAAATTTATCAATATTTCAAGAAATATGATCAATTTACAGATTGATGCAGTTTGAATCAAAATACAATTGATCAAAAAGTAACATTTTGTCAAAATGCTAGATAAATCGGTTTGAGAATTATCTTCCATTCACGAAGTTTAAGCTTCAAATGCTCATCAGTAGTGTAGTTGATATGTAAATGCGCATTTTTTTGTAAATACTAAAATCCAATAGATATACCTTGACCTCGAAAAATTATAAACGATGAGCATCTGAAATTGAGTTAAAAACGCAACATGTATCTTAACCTGAGAGTTAAAAATCTTTTGGAATTTAGTATTTACCAAAAAAACAATGTAATTTCAGATGCGTAAATTGAGTTTAAAACGCAATATGTATCTTGCAAAACTGATTATCCAAAGTGGATTATTCGTGAACTGTGAGATATATTTGTATTCTGAAGCAAGAAACAGTAGATTTCTTGTAACAGACCTGTTATTAAGGCAAACATCATGTGAAATATGAAATATTGATACATGTTTCAAATTGCACATACTGTTCAAAAGAGTATGTATCTTAGAAAATGGATCAGGAGATGCTCGGTAGTTCATCAGTAGAAGGAATTTCACATCAGGCTGAAAACTTGCATATTTTATATGAACATATTAAAATCAATTCCCTGATGATCGAGAAAGATTCTTAATTGTCGATCAATAGTAATTAAAATTAAAATTCAAAGTTGATAACATTGAAATTTATGAACAAACTTACCTGAAATACTTTTACGGGAGGCTCAATCTTGTACAAAATTTCCCTGAAATGACAAATATGTTTGGGAAATTTGTGGCTTCAACTAGAAGTGCTTTCAATGTATAAATTTGATCAGCAACGAAACTTCCGATCAGCACGAAACTTCCGAAAATGAATAAATATGATTGAAATTTTAGAGTTTTGGTGAAAACTTATGGTAGCTTAAGCTTAAGGAAATGTTTGCCAAACCATATCACTTTAAATTTTGTCGTGTTGTGTAGATAGATTCCATTGAGAAAATCTTTGCCTCTGAATTCTGCGTCATCTGAAGTGACTAGCGAACGTATATATTTAAGGTATACATCTCGTTGATTGATTGATTGATTTCCTTATACGCTTGTTTGTTCTGTTTTGTACTGAAATATTCAATTACGTTTATTTAACGTTTTCATTTCATTTTTCTAACGACTCTGCGCAAGTAGTGGTTAGTTCTTGATCTATCGTCAAGTCTTGTTTGAACTGAAGAACGGATTGATAACCAAATATGTATTATCTAAAAGAATATTCGTTATGCAAATTGATTGCAAATGTGATTTTCAGAATTACTATTGAGAGTTTTATTTTCTCATTCATCTTCACGATCCTCTAATATAAGATGTTGGTTGGCAAACTTTTAACAAAGAAATACAATAACTAAAAAGTTTTGGTTGTGTGCAGAATTTGCTTTCGTTGTGCAAACAAAATTTTAGTACGCTTCCCATCAGTGATAACTCTGCCAAAGTGTTGAAAAAATTACGCATAAATTCTCAGTGTTCACTATTTTAAGTGGTATTAGGGCTTCTGACTTGGTTTTTTATAGTGTCTATATGTGTTGTGGAAGAAGCAAAATTATTTGGGAGCAGCGAAATTATTCAAGTAGGCATCAAAATTTTACGATGTTTGTAATGAGTTCGAATACAAACATTTGGTTCTTTGGTTTCTGATCGGACTACACTGATCTATTTATAAAAATGATTGCTTACTTTTCAATTCAGATGTAACTTTTGCAGGCTTCGCTGTGATTACATTACTTTGTTACCTTGTTGGAAGTGCTATAAGATTTTAATTTTGTTTTTACTTTCGCTCTCAATGTAATAATTTTCAACATGCAAATCCTTACTGTAAAAGGTTACATTTTCCTAACTTTATTTCAGAATCGCAATTTTATTATTCGCAGGAATTACTAATAGTTTATCGACTAAATCAATGCCTTAATTAGTTTTTGATAAGATTACAGATAAATGACGATTTTGCAGACAATGAACTGCTTGACACTCATTCTATCGTTGGTAATATGCGCTTATCAAAGAGTGACTGGCACACCGACAAATGCGACTTTAAGTCCAACTGGTATTTAAGCGTTAACTTTGCATGACTGATTATAAACACTTGAAAGAAAAATGGTGCGGGCATTCACGTAATCAATAATTTCAGAATATGAAATCCATGAGTCATCAAATCAGATCGATTATTTAAGTCGGTTGATGACGATGTTGGGACTATTCAAAGAATCATTTTTGGGCTTTATTAAAGGAACGAATGTGACGAATGAGGATTTGCTGAATTACAGAAGGTGATTTTCAGAAGGCAGTCTGAACTATTATTTCTGTTTCATAGTAATTCCGTGAATAGCATATTTTTTGCATGTATATGAATTACTAAAGCGTAAATTCAGCAAGTAACTTCACTGAGTAATTTTGCATTTGCTGAAGGCTGGCCACATTTTTCCATAAAGAAGCAACTGGTGCTCTGAATGAAAGATTCCAAATTGTTCGCTTCCGTGAGGGTAAATTTGAATCGATCAATCAACAAAATGTTTACTGTAAATATATACGTTCGCTAGTCACTTCAGATAACGCAC